GTTTTGGTGAGGAGAGTTCAGGAAACAAAATCTATTGAATAAAACTGGGGCAAAGATTTTTGGTGAGGAGAGTTCAGGAAACAAAGTCTAATTACTAAGACTGCGGACAAATTTTTATTGTCCACAGCTTTAGTCATTAGATCTGCTTCCTTAATTTCCCTCACCCCAAAAAGATTGTCCACAGTTTTAGTCATTAGATTTTGCTTCCTGAACTCTCCTCACCAAAACTTTTGTCCACAGTTTTAGTCATTAGATTTTGCTTCCTCAACTCTCCTCAGCAAAACTTTTGTCCACAGTTTTAGTCATTAGATTTTGCTTCCTGAACTCTCATCACCAAAAAAATTCCCACAGTTTTATTCAGTAGATTTTGCTTCCTGAACTCTCCTCACCAAAAAAAATTGCCCACAGTTTTAGTCTTTAGATTTTGTTTCCGCACTTTCCTTGTCCCCAAAAATCATGTTCCCTTTCCTTTTCCTCTCTCTCTTCCTTTTATTGTTCCTTTTCCTCTTCCTTTTTTCCTTTTCCTTGTTTTTTTTCATCTTCCTCTTCGTTTTTCCTTTTCATTTTCCTTGTTCCTTTTCAAGAACATGCGACATGTGACATGAGTCAAAAGTGAACAAATTTGGTGACATTACTCTTGCAAAAAACACAGCCAACAACAACAACAAGAAAACAACAAAACGAACAAAACAACAAAAACAAAACAACACAGAAATAACAGAAACCACACAAAAAACAACATATGACAACACATGTTTCACATACTTAAAAAGTTACTAGCCTTACTAAATTAAATTACTAGCCTTACTAATTTAAATTACTTGTCTTACTAAATTTTACTATGGAAAAATTACTTTGATTTTTTTTACCAATTTTTTTCTTTACTAATGGAAATTAAGTGATTTTTTGGCCTACTAAATTTAGTTGATCCGCAGACTCAGGGGAAAATTCTTCATGGGAGACGCAGTTCATGGTTACCATAGACACGACAGGCCAGCGGCGCAAAGCCTTCGACTACATGTTGACCTGGGCTGAAGAGCAACGAATGGGCTATGGAGCTTTCAGCGTAGCTGTGATGCCCGCCCAGTGGGAAAGCGACTGGGAAGGATATGCTGAGCGGTTCATGCGAGATGGAGCGGTTTGAAAAAAAAACTGCGTTGCTCAGCAGTGCTTTTAGGTGTGGTGTCAAAGAGTCTAAGACATCTCACATGTTGGTTCACGAGACTTTTACTTGATGCCCACGTCACCCGAGTGTGCAGTGGAAACATTGCGAGGGGACCGTGCTTGCTTTGTTTTTCAGTAACGTTGGCTCTTCAAAACAATACTATATATATACATATATATATATATTTACATAGTCTGTTAGATTGTCCAGAACGGTCAACCGGTCACACGTGAGCACAAAACGAGAAGTGTACCTTTTACTGGACCTTTAGGCCCAAGCGGAAAACAAGCGTTGTGCTTCGCATGGTAGCGGAGCGTGGCCGTATAGAGCCCGCTCTGCTACCCACGCCATTTGCACCACGACCACGACTCGCTGCAGGAGACGAGCAGCTGGCGGCGCGCAGCCGATTTCGTTTTGGTTGGCTGAGCTCCTTCTACTGAGCTGCATAGCTGGAGGGGCTGGTGATTCGTGGACGCAAGAGGTCTGTCATTATCAGCCACCTCAGGTCATTGCTCAGCAGTGGAACTGGAAAGTAAGACGCGTGCACAGCATCGAGGTGGACACAGACGAGTGCGTGGGTAAGTTGCAGTGGGCCAGAAGCACCAGTGCGGCGCAGGCATCACTGCTGGCGCGCAACAAAGTCAAGAAGAAAGGAAAAGGACCCAGGGAGAGAAAACAGCTGGTTGTCATCGTCCCGGCTAAGTGGAAGTTATTGAAGAGAGTTGAGGACCTACGAGATCGAGCAGACAAGGACGCAATCAGTGACCTGGTAGCAAACTGGGACTTCAAGAAGCTGTTGACCTACACCAACTTGGAGGTCAACGAGGAACGACAGGACAGTGAGCCCTATTTGACAACAAAGGTCTACTACCCCAGGGTGGCCTACATCCACGCTATGGCGGAGGAGAGTTTGAAGATGATCTCAACGGTCCTGAAAAAGCTGACGGTAACCCAAAACTCGAGTTCCTGGGCCAGGCACCTGAAAACTCCGGACTTGTTCAAGCCCGACACCCGTGACAACGAGCTGAAAAAGCAGCATCAGAGCAGTTGGATGATCTTCAGTCTGTGCGCACGTCACTATGTGGAGCCTTGAGCATTGCAGGATGGTTACGGCGCAACATCATGGAGGGTTTCCTGGGCAAGGTGGGGTGCTACATCATGGAGTACCTGAATGACAAGCTCAGGACACCGGCTGGAGGAAGACAGCCGAACATGAAGGAAGTGGGCAGCCAGGCCTACGAAACGGAAGGTCTGCAGTCCTACGTGCAGGCATACGAGGAGAATGAAGAAAAGATGCCAATTGAGCTGCAGAAGAAAGAAAGCCAGATCGAAGATCTGCAGTGGAGCATCACGGAAGTTCGTTTGCAGCGAGACCAAGCCTTGAAGGAGCTTGAGATCTCAGAGAGGTATGCCTTGCGTCTGCTCAAGCAGACAAACCAGTACAGAGTGTGCGCACGGGGTACAGTCATCCATTTTCACGAAGGATGCCCGCACTATGCGCATGCAAAAGCATTTGAACTGTGCTGCACGTGCATGACCGGAGGCACGGTGTTAGATTGTCCAGAACGGTCAACCGGTCACACGTGAGCACAAAACGAGAAGTGTACCTTTTACTGGACCTTTAGGCCCAAGCGGAAAACAAGCGTTGTGCTTCGCATAGTCGTATAACTATATATTTGTCGCTCCTTCGTGTTTGTTCGAAACTTAGTCCACCCTGGCCTCATATATGCTCGCTTCGTTTCGGAGTGCGTGTTTTTTGAGGCACATGACATGTGCTAACAGCCCGTGGCCATGTACAGTTCCGGTCCTGGTTGAGTTCTGCAAGATGAAATGCAACATGTGAGCCCAAACATCCGGTTCTCCCTTTTTAGACTTGACCCAAATTGGTTGATAGCAACAAGTGCTGTCATGACATGAGATGATACAGTCGCTCGCTCTAAACCTTTGGAAAAGCCATGTCGCTGGAGTCCAAGATCAAGCAAATTGAAAAGACGGTGTCTGCTGGGATTCATGAGGTGTACTCCGGAATCAACCGGCCAGACTACGGTGTGCCTCCGAAATTGGGGGGAGACTCACCGGAACAAATCAACTGGCTAGTGACGCTTGTGCTGATTCTTGTTTGCGTATCTATTGGTTTGGGTCTACTTCTTGACAACAATTGCCGCGGCAAAGAAATGGAAGGACGACCGCGATATTGGTCAATTCTACTTTTGTTGGCGAGCTATTTGCTGTTGATTCCAGGATTAACCAATCCTGTATTCAGCTTCAGCATCGTCATTAATATCATTGGTCACAGAAAGGTGGTTGAACCAGAAGCAGGTCATCCAGTTTGCACAGAGACCACCACAGGATTGGCTGATTTGCTATGGAGGACAGGTTCCAAAATCGGAGCATTCCTCGTGATACTCTTTTCTATGGTCATACCAGCTATAGAGCTCATCATGCTGATCCTCGGCGAAACATTCCGGTTTGCTTCTGCCAGATGCGCAGAAGTTTTTCGATGGGTCATCATTTGGGTGCAACACCGTTCAAAGTGGGCTTCACCGGACATGTTTGCATACGTCCTTCTAGTTGACCTTGTTCGCACTCTGGAGCATGATCCGCTTATTTTGTCAAGAGCGAGGCCAGGAACAGAAGGTGTTTCTTGTAGTTAGCCGGGGCAACAGCAAACAATAGCCACCAGATGACACTTTCATGGCATACGATCCGCATGGCAGTTTTTTGATAGTGATCAGTCAATTTATGTGCAAAGAATGTTTTCGCTTCAATTTCTTGATTTCGTTTACTGTGTTTGTCCTTGAAGAACCCCGAAGGCTTGAGATTGGATTCTCCTGTTTCAGTACCTTTGTCATCACAGCCACCGTCTCTTCCTTGGGAATCCCACTCCCGCAGGCGACTGAGGGAGATCAAAATGGCACGGTGAAGGTAGTGTTGGATTCTGTTTAGTCATCCTTGAAGCCTCTTGAAACCTTTTTCAATACAACTATGAAATCTGTAACTGAAGTATGTACTGCACATAAGATAAATATGCATATCCAACGGAGGTGTTTTCAGTGAATGCTTTGGCTATGCCAGCTTGGACAGGTGAGCCTGGAAAGTAGAGAACATCCGAGTGCACCCATGGTTCTTCGCCTTTTTGGTGGAAAAGGTGTCGCTTTTCTATCGGCTTTGCTGCTTGGATATATATATATAATGAATTTTGCATCTTGATATTATCCTTTTTGTAGCAGTTCTTGTTGAATTTGAGCCATGAAAAGTAATGGTCATGGTGGTGGCCCATGTGGTACAAAAGTTCAAGGTGCGTGTAATGAGTTTGCTAAGGCTGTCGATTGTGTTTGTGCCTTTGTTCATCAAGGGGCTGCAATCTCCCTGTATGTCTTTTCACATCGAAACAAAACAGCTCTTTCCGCCTTATGGGCCTTTGCCAGAGTCCGCAAAGCCTGCGATCGACATCCTTGATCTAAAGAACTTGCTGAAGTCAGAGACTAGCATCGTGAGCTGCATACAAGACTACATCGACAGACTTTCTGGATGGGAAGCCAACACCTTTGTCTCTCTCGCTTTGCTAATAGTATGTGTTGTTGGCAGTACTCTGATGGACATGATATTCCTGGTGCTTGCCGCAGCGGAGCTTGCAATCGACCGCCCAGACGGACCAAGCAAGCACCTGGGCCACACTTGGATTGATATGGCGAGGGTGCTTCGAAAGCTATCCATGATGGATGTTGCAATGGTTGGTGTCTACTTGGTTACGGTTTGCATGTCCATGTACGCAAAGTATGGTGTGGTCGTGTCGCTTGAGCATGGTATGATGACATTGCTAGCGGCAGAAATTGTACATTCCGTGACTTATCATGTAGTTGAATCCGCCTGCAGCCATTTGGAGTTGGAGCGAGAACTGAGAGAGGTAGAGCTAGAGCCGTTGGCAGAAGAGACTCCCAAAATTTCAGGTTGCTGCTCTACAAAGTGGAGATTGATGCAAAGTCTCCATTGAGAGAGGCAAAGGTGCTCTCATCTAGCCCAGATTGTGAGAAAACAGCAACTACTAGAGCTCAGAGCAATGCCTTGGCTCAGAATTCCAGAAGAGTCTCTTCTCTGTTTGTCAGTTCAGTTCTTTGTTTGTTTTGTTTTGGACCAACCTCATCTGACCGATCTGACCGAGTGTCTTGTGATCTTCCTATTCAGTTCGGATATTTCAGAACGTGAGTCAAAAGCCTTCGTGAACGATGCAGATATCAGGAGATCTCGAATGAATGCACATGGTGGCGCACCCCAACACGCACGCAGATATATACATTCTCCTGCAGCACAGACACACAATCTTCTTTGGGTTTTGAAGCTAAGCCATGTCACACTTGGCATCCAAAGGACGGGAATGGATTCTGTTTGGCTTGGAACATCCTGGAATGGATTCTTGTTTGCGCCCTTCCTGGAAGGACAATGTTGCCCAATTTGCAGTGCTTGACTGAGCTGGAATTACAACAAGTTCAAATCCAACAACTTCATCTATACTCCCATTTTGCTTTCAAGGCCAAGCCTTTTTGGGGACATCTCTGAAGTACCACATCAAGGCTTGATACTCCGTGACAGTTTGAGATTTGTTGCCTGGCTGAGCTTTCCACCTATCGTTGTGGCCACACATCGGTGAAGGCCTGCGCACGCACTGACCTTACATGCCGTTACCATGTGAATTGCCTGGAGAGTTCATCCCACCTAGGACACACTCTTGCCCAGCTCGAAAATTGTACCTCTTGCGGGCGTTTGGTGAATCCCTTGGCGATGCATCATTTTGATTAGATCCAACTGTGTTTGGAAGACCAAGGTCAGGAAGGATGACCTGAAGGATCATGCTTTACGATGCAAAGCAAGACAGTCAGCAGAGGCAGCATATTCTGCACATTCTGGCTGGTAGCAAAAGATTGTGGAGTTTGTAACCTGACTTGGGGTCAATTGCAACTGTACTTCAGGGCTGCTTTGGAGAAGCATCGAGAAGAGCTTGGCAGGACCCCTTTGTTCGAAACGTTATATAGGTCTTGGTTTGTTTGATATCGAGTAGAGACTTCGGGCCTTAGGTGATTTCTAGGTCTTGAACAACGCGAAGCTTCTGGCTCTACTGGGCTCGCCGGGCGAAGCCCTCTGAACGAGTGGTTGGCTAGAAATCTCCATGCTGTGGGATGCCAGCAAATTCAATTTTGCATAGGTATGGGCACAGATTTTAGGTCTTGCAGTGCTGAAAGGCCGTTTTGGTGGGGTGTGTTTGGTGCAAAGTTGTCGCAGAGATCACGTATGCTCCCAGCGACCTCCTGACCAGGTGTGGGATGTTGTGTGTGTGTGTCTTTGTGGGGTGTTTGGTTGGTTTGATGGCAGCGCATGTACTTTGGCGAACGCGGGCGAGGATTTGAAGATCCATCTTGAACGGCTGCGTGAGGTTGTATGGTGAAAGCTCAGAGGGGCCCAACTATATGTCAACATAGTATAGGACATAGCAAGTTGGAGGGTGAAAGCATAGGCTATAGGAAGCCATGGAGGATGATAAGCCAATGCTTGAATCCAGGATCCTAGTTCCTGATCCTATCCTATCTGTTGTCATGATTCCTATTGCTCTCTCTCTCTCTCTCCCTCTCTCTCTCTCTCTTTCTGCGTCCGACTTGGACTTGGAAGAGAAGCCTGTCTCACTAGCGTATCCCTTCAAACACTTGGGCCATACGCAAGGAACAATGTTTGAACCAAATATCCTAAACACATAGTGCTGACTCAGCATTCAGCACCCATGTCAAGATAGATGTGATATTGAGAGATCAATTGGAGAAAAAGCTTCCGCAGAATTTGCTGTTGAGTTTGAAGTTGCATGGTGGGGGTTGGTGGTGGCATTATTGGGTTCCATTTGGATTTAGTGTAGTGAAAGCTCTCATTTCTGGTGCAATATTTTGTGGGTACGTTTGTGGTCACTGTTACAACAAGGCCATGTCAAAGCGCTGAGAAACAATACTTCAGAGCCAAATGGGATGTCAAACCAATGCAGTAGGTCAGACAAATCGTTAAGCTTAAACAAGCAGAATGAACAAAACACCCGCACTGTCCAAGCCCAAGCCGAACGAAGTTCTGAGGAATTCACTCTAAGACACCAATGTGACAAACGATAGGGCAGCTGCGGCATCAAATCAAGGAATCCAGTGGAATCCAGATTCCTCCTTCGCAAACCGGTTCAACGGCCCGAGTAAACTCTTTCAATTCAAGCACAAGTTTCAAGCTTATGGCTCGTAATTCAAACCACCACAATCAAAGAGAGGTCTTTTGTTTCGAAATTCATTGGTTAGCAGTGTGCGGAGGAGAAGTCAAAGATGCTTCGCTTGACCTTGGGAAAAATTGAGGCGACATGCTTGAGAGCGAAACACTGCAGTCGTGCATAGCACATGCATTCTAAATTCCATACACATCGAGGCAGGTGACATTGGAAGACAGGGGCTCAGGGCCAAAGGGTAGTGGCGTTCTTAATGCAAAGATGCCTGAGGTCTTGATCTTCGTGGTTTCTTTCTGTGCTCGATATGTGGACAGCAAGGCACACATGGCTCATTGTCGGAATGGATTTGTTCATGTCTAAGCATTGGCGCGACTAGCAGTCTTTGTTCGAACACGGCCCGGATTGGGCAGTGACAGTGTAGTCATGTCCAAGCATTATATAATCATTGAGTCATTGCAAATCAAGCAACAGTTGTATGTGAGGTCTAGGCCTTACCCAGATTTTGTTGCACGAGGACTCTTGCAGTCGATCGAACAAAACAGTGGGCTGAAAAGCGTTTGCTGTTCATTCTCGGAAGAAAGGAGACTTGTCGAGAGCGACTGAACGTAGAAGGGCAAGTCTCCCAGTCCAGACATGAGCCTCCTGCGGACCTCTCAGAGCCAAGTTGCAAGCACAGCGTTGCCCAAACAGCAAAAAAGAACCCATCAAAATGGTTTCTGGATTCTAAACACTCTTTGTCCAGAGGTCCAGCAAGTTCTGACAGAGAAATTTGCAGATTTGAAGGCAGAGATTTCGAAGGCTGAGGCTCAGATGTGCGTTTTCCAGATCAAGCTTTGCATATAATATATATATATAATGTACTCTCACTCTCATTTTTTGATTCGTTGTTGTTATGAGCTGCCAAGGATGGGTAAGGCAGGTGAGGAAAGGTTAGAATGAAAGGAAGTGAAGGGGACCAAACGCCGGGAAACGTGGAAGAGACGTCCATGAGTTCAAGCTTCGCGAACATGGCCACTCACATTGTAGTTACAACCTCCATAAGCTACAACGCCTAGTCGAAAGCACATCTCACCAGCCCTTTCGATTAACGTGTCTGACTTGTGCACGATCAAGGATTGGGGCGGCTTCATTTTATGATTGTTCTTTGCTGCTAATCCACCCTGAGAGCAACTCTTGATTCGCGAACTGGATCTTCGTCGCAAATCTGGTGAAAGGCACCTGGAAGTGACCCAAGTTCCACACTCAGAAGCAGCCCTGCATCAATTCGTTTCCTTCGTAGACTCAATTCCTTTCAGGTGAACTGTTGGCCCTCAGTTTGGACAGGCTGCGCGATGTTGTGCGGAATGCTTGCGTTTTGGAGGCCGCACGCAGTGTTAGGGTACATCACTGTACATGGAAAGGCAACTTGACTCGACCTGACTAGAAATCTCAGACGCTTCTAAGTTGGTCACCAGCAGGAAAAGAAGTATCGAAGACTGCGAATGTCAAACGCAGCCGTGGCAGAGGCTGGTGTCATCAGCGCAGCCTAACTGTATTTTTTGTATTTTTTCCCCGGTTGCGACGCAACGCCGTTTAGAAAGACGTGTTTTGTTTTGGTGATGTTTCAGTAGGGCGTGGAGTGTAAGGCTTTGCGTTCATTCCTGCAGCGGATTTGGCATTCACACTTGCAGGGCTTCAACAAACGAACAATAAATAGAAACCATATGCCAAGCCCCCGGAATGCATTTGTGGACTTTCATCTAAGTCTAAAGTTTCAGGTACCAAGGTGCACAAATTCATGTTTACAAGAATCTCAGAAGAATTGCATCAACATATGGACACCCTTCAAACAAAGAAAACATTTAAGGGCATACTTTGAATCTGCACTTCCCTTACACCGGCTTTTGTATGCTATATATAGTGTGATTGGTGCAGGGAGTATACATGTGGTGACCGGGATAGAAGCTGTCAAAAGGAACTCTGATTCCCTGCGCGGATTCTTCCTCCTTGCTGTTTAGGTCACGCCTTCTCATCCTTCCTGCGTTTCTTTCACATGTAGTGTATTGAGTGACTGGAGTAGGGAAAGCTTAAAGTCTATTGATCGGCATCATCATCGTCGTCGTCGCCGTCATCATACGTTTGGTTCTGTCGCTTAGAAACTCATCACTCACATTAGGAACTGCGTTTCTTTTAATAGGCTGCCTTGGGGAGTCTATTTGGAGCCAGGCAGATTGTGTTGGTGTTTCTACCGCACACCAGAAGCTTTCTCAGCATCCTTGTGAGTTGGTCTGCATACTTTACTTGGCATTTTCTCGCGCATGCGAATGATTGTATAAGTGTCAAGTGGTTGTCGCTCAGACTACGTACATGTCTACATGTGCGTGAACTAGGCTCAAACTCAGTTGTGGCGGAAAAGGTTTCGCGTGCGACTGCGAGTGTTTTCATGGTAGCGGAGCCGCCCGGGGGGATCAATAAACATACCCCGGCAAGAAAGGTCGAGTGGCCTTTGTGGTGAAAAGAGGAAAAGAAGAGAGAAAAGTAGTGGGAAGTGGAAAGTTGGTGAAAGATAGACAAGAAGAAGGGAAAGATGATGCCCGAAGCTTTGCAAGCTTTGGTGGTTTGTTTTGGCAGTTGTTGAAGCTGTCAAGACGATGAAAGAAGAAAAGGAGAAAGGAAAGGGAGGTTTTGGAAGTGGCAGGGAAGCAACCAGGGCCTTTTGCACGGAGCAATCAAGACAGGACCCCCCCGAGAAAGTAGTACGTGGGCTCCCACCCTTTCGAACTAGGAAACGTAGTGGTCGTCGGGGGGGGCCACGACTATTTCTCGTCGCACATCTTACAGGCCTTTAAGAAGGATTCTGTGCTACGAGGGTTTGTAAGAAGGATTCTGTGCTACGAGGCCTTTAAGAAGGATTCTGTGCTACGAGGGGTTTGTAAGCAGGATTCTGTGCTCTTCCGGTGGGGTCGCAGGCTTGGCCCCAGTGATGCGATGTTTGGTGGGGAGACGGTGATGCAACACCGTCTGCAGCCAGGTGGTGTGGCTGACTCTCATCGTCCCGGCGTTCGTGAGGCCTGCGAGCCATCCCGGTGACGCTGAGAGCTTTGAGCGAAGTTTGGACCGCAACCCAGCTGCTTGGGAGTTGGGAATGGCGCCACTTGGATGCTGATGATCATGAGCCCGCCAATGAAGTGAAGACACCTTCACCACAAAAGAGCGCGACCGCTGATGAGAGCACTCTGTCCAAGAGGGTGTGCCGGAAGATCACTTCTACATACCCACCTGCCTTCTCCGCCAATGCGGAGGAGTCGTATACCCAATGGAAGAGGTCGGTGCAATGCTGGATGGCTGGAGAAGGAGGTCAAATACCAGAGATGGGACCTAGATGCCTCTCGGTCCTCAAGGGCCGGGCGAGTGTCATTGTGAGACACTTGAAGCCTGAAGATTGAGGAAGTGAGTCGTCGTGGTGGCTTGGACCTCGTGTTCCAGACCTTGGAGGCGTCCCCGCTGGTGAAAGAATTGGACGGGCAACGTGGTGAGAGAGCTCACAGGGATTTGCTGTCGACCAAAGTGGTGAGTCTATGGAATCCTTCATCATGCGCGCGCAGGCTCAACGCACGGTGATGGAGGAAGAACGCTCCACCTTTAAGCCGTGGGCGATTGCTTCTCGTTTGGCTGAGTTGACATTGAAGAACCGCGTGATGATCCTCGCGGCTGCCCCGAATTGGATGACTTCCGAGCGCGTGTTTCCGGCCCTGAGGCGCACGGGTCCTTTTCTTCAAGGGACCATTCCGATTGGCAAGGAGGTCATTGATGTTCCTCTTCTGCCTGAGTTGATGCAGAATGAAACCAAGCCAGCAGCCACCTCAGATGGATGGAAGCCTTGGTCGTATAAGGCCCATGTGTCAGCCCCTCTTGGTGAAGAACTCACACTCACTCACTCACTCACTCGCTCACTCACTCACGCACTCACTCACGCACTCACTCACGCACGCACGCACGCACGCGCGCACGCACGCACGCACGCACTCACTCACTCACTCACTACTTGTCAAGCAGGTGGATCGTGCAGAGATCAAGCTGTCCACGACCAGCCAGATTCTTAGAGAAACAAGAGCACGGTCGCGTGGATCGTATGAGGAAGGAGGGCGCCGGTGACTTCCACTGGTTGGACTCCAATGAACGGTTGCGAATGGCTTTGAACAGTCGCTCACCACCACCACACCTGAAAGTCGGTGCTCTGACCCCAGGCGCCATTGTCTGCTTCTTCAAGCACCCTGGCCAAAAGCGCTTGCAGGTCTTTGCCACCGCGTATCAAGGGCTTGTGTCGCTCCCTTGACAGAGTATGAAGGCACCTCAAGTGAAGCGCCTTTGTATAGCAAATCAGGCGATCAAACAGCTGAAGAAGGATCATCCTCTCCGTTTTGTATCATTGGGCTGTTCACTTGCAGGAAGTCCTCGTCGTTTTGGCAACTGATGGAGCGTATGGCACAATGCCAGACGGGAAGTCTCAGCAGGGTTGGTTTGTTGGTCTTGCCAACCCTGCTTTCAAAGACGGTTGCTCCAAGATGAATCTATAGTGGCAGTTCATGTAAGAGGGTGGCCGGATCCTGTATGGCCATTCAGGCCGGTGAATCTATGTGCGGGTGCTGTTTGGTGAGGTTGTTCAAGAAGATTTTCAAGTGCGGTGTTGGGCGCACTTCATCAATATGACGCCTGCAAACCGAAAGCTTGCCTCAAGATAGGCGTGCTGCCTTGGACCTTCTAGTCGTCAAAGAATCCTTGCTGGATGAGGAGAACCGAGCACTGTATGTCGCTGGGTACCTGGAGCTCAGCAGATGTCAGAAGGCTTGAAGGCCAAGGACAGTCATGTCCTCACAGACTTCATGGACAGCAACGAAGGGAGTCTCAAGGAGGATTTGGTTGGCAAGCTCAGCGTGAGCGAACAAAGTGTGGGCTGACCGAGTTTCAAGGTGGGCGCCCCCCGGTTGTGAGGTGAAATGTCATCTCACCTTCAAACTACATGTTCTGACTGCAGCCGCCCGCATCCCTCGAGCTATGTCTTGAGGAAAAGAACGCTTGAGTCTGGTCGTCTGCGCCACTTCAAGTATTTGGGGTTATATTTTGACCGACAAAAAGAAATTCCAATCGATTCGGGTCACTGTTCGTCAGACCACTCTTTTGACTCCCAGGGTCTTTGCTTGCGCGTGTTTGCGTATACCAGCATCCTCCAACACGTCACCAACTCTTTCAGGGAAGCGTCGGCCAGTACGTCGGCAAAAGCGTCAATGAAGGAAACATTGTTCCGGCAGGCTTGCGTATAGTATATCTGATTGCGAAGCTTCTGCTCAAAGCTCAACATCAGATTCTAGGAAGGATTTGCAGGCGTCGTCCCCATACTTCAATCTCCCTTGGCCATCTGCAAGAGACACACTTTGTCACTCCCAGGAGGCAGTCAGGGTATTGAACAAAGTGGCGCTGCTACAAGCCTTGCTCCAAGCGTGAGCATGTTGTTTGCCTCCGCGTAAAGCTTTTGTCGCAACTCTTCAGAGTTGGTTGACATTTTACTTTTCCTGCACTCTTTAATAATGCACTCGCAAGGATTTCTCCCCCCTTAGCTTCCTCTAATTTCTGGGCCAGATAGCCAGGGGCTCATGTTGGTGATCAAGCCGTCCCACAACCGCCTCCAAGGCATGCTTTTGCCTTAATAGTTCGCACCCTTATCTGGAACGTCTGTGGCCATCTGCGCAGGTGACCAGCGATGCTAGTCCAGCTCTGGGGTGGCCGCTGGATTGACCCCTAAATCTTGGCGGAAAGCCTCTCTAGCAGCTGGGCAAACAAGGACACGCTTTGGTAGTGTCCAGAGGCAACTTCACTTCGTGAAAAATGTAAAGCAAATCAGCAGGCAGAATCGTCTGCAGAAATATGTTCACCTCTTCCTCATCCGTCGGCGCGGGCATGATCGCACTCGGGGTTCTGGCTATGAAAACGGCCTTCCGCCGAAGTCCAACAGCGGGCCAGCAGGATGGCCAGCGGCAGGCGGCAGAGGCAAATGGTTGTATATATATATATATATAAGTAGTTGTTGTGGGCGTGGCTGCGGCTGTGGTTGTTGCGGTTGTTGCTGTTTTGGTTGTTGTTGTGGTGGCGGTGGTGATTGTGTTGTGTTTGTTGCTTTGACCAGAAACAGAACCAAAAGCAGCAAATGCCAATAGCGCAAGGCGACTTGGGCTGCGTAACTTGCACTGTGTGGCCATCTTAAGCAAGCCATCTGGAAGGAAGGGGTACCCTAGCGACCGGGACCTGTTGCAGGGGTGCTTAATATATGTATATATATATATATTATATTTATTTTTTAAAGGGGGGTGCTTGTCGTGCTTTTCTGCATCTCTGCTTGTGCTGCCTTGCGTTGCTTTTGCTTACTTTTTTTCATTGCTTCTTCGTGAAGCCTCTTTCTTTCCTGGCCTTTGCTGCTTTTTGTGCATTCTTTCTTGCTTGGTTGATTTTTCTTGCTGTTTCTCCTGGTTGC